CTGCATTTTCATTGTCCATCCAGTAAAACAGTAGCTATCATGGTTTACCTCTGCAATACTGTATATACAAAAATCGTTCTCACAAATGTGAAAGCTCTTCAGCAAAGATGAACAGACACTGTCACACTATGAATGACGGCCTCTTCTTCTTCGGTGATGATTTACCTCCTGAATGTGTGTGACCAAAATGCCTTTCTAACATGGACATTGCAAATGAACCTGGAAAGGTCTGCATTAAACAAATGAAGCATTTTGCCAAGAGGTAACGATCTTAATCTGTTTCAGCAATAGCAAAAACAAATTACAAGCAAAAACAGGCATGGATTGTCTTCTATGAAAGCTCACAATGACACAAGTCTGTTGGTCTTAAAGGTGCCACAATACTTCTGCTTTTGGTTTGCTTTATGTTGCTATTGCAATAACAAAAACAAACCACAAGCAAAAACAGGCATAGATTGTCTTCTATGAAAGCTCACAATGACACACGTCTTAAAGGTGCCACAATACGTCTGCTTTTGGTTTGCTTTATGTTGCTATTGTTTAAACAAATGCATCATGGGTTACAACCTCACTGTAATTGGTGGGTGCCTGTAGATGATATGCAAAGTGCCCTTGAGTCCATACAAAGACACCTGGAGTGGGTTTCTTCCATGCTACAAGCCACTGGCCTAGGGCACAAAACCTCCCTACCCAGGCCATCTATTCCTTCTGTGCCTCAGCAGTGATGATAGAGTAAGGAGCACCAGCATGAGGCACAGTGTAATCTGATCCAGTACATGAGCCAAGTAATATTTTCTCTCTCTGGGATTTTGCCATATCACACACCCATAACTATAAAAGGGAAGCATTATGATTACATCACAACAAAGGGTTAGGTTCCTTGTTACATTACAGTCTTAACATAATGCTGCTACACTTCTGGTATTAAAATAAGAAATTAATGAGAAATTGTGCATTACTGACAAAATACCTGGCTTGGTCCACAGAATGTTTCTAATCCATATGCCATAGCTCTCCTCACAACAAATTGTTGTTGTTGGGGAAACAGGGTTGCTTGAGTGTTTGGCAACAGAGCAGTAATGGCTCAGATTAATACAAAGCAAATTTGGTGCCATTGCAGAAAGGGAACAGGGCTCTCACCAGTTTGAAGAAATAGGGAGAGGCTTACAAAGAATGTGTAATGTGACTGAGCCTATGCTTTCACTCATTTGGTTAATTTGGAGAAGGACTTGCCCAAGGTGTGTTCTAAAGCTTCAGGATGCTTGGAGAATTGGATCCTTGAAAATCAGTTCTGACATGCCATGGTCTGCACCTCCTGGATCAGCAGTTCCCAACCTTGGGTAACCCAGGGTTTCATATTCTAATTTGGTAAAGAGCGTTGTAACATTATAACTTCTTGTCTGTTTTTGTCTGTACTTTTTGAAATATGTTTTTCCTTTGTACCCATTTTTAGTCTTAGCTTAGCCTTGAATCTCAGTTCTGGAAGAAAGGGAACAAACAAATAAATCAAATAATTGACAAAATATTTGAAAAGTTCACTTGTAAGATGGAAGGAAGGGGAATCAAATTAGGTTTTTGCCTTTGTTGACATCTATCCAGGTCCGATGAATTCTGGGAACTGAAGTTCTGAAAATTCCACTAAGCTCTGAATCACATTTCAGTATAGATTAGATGGAATAAAGTTATGAACACACATGTGCAAAGGCAAGTTATGGACTAATTCCTCTGTCCTTAACTCAGGGGATTGAATTGTGCCACCGCACCTTTAAAATCAACCCTACAAGGCTTTTACGGCAATGTCTGAGTTTTGATTTGTGCCCTGAACTCAACTGAAAAATAGATGAACTTTCAAGGGGCCAATGGAAAGCTCCATGAAAAATGGATGTGCTTCTGAAAATTTAAAAAAGCTTTAAAAAAATAGTGTTATGGCTCAACTCTACACCTGATTCTAGCTGAGCAAGGAATAGCAATAGCACCCTCTGTTTGCCTGCCGAGATTCCAACACACAAGAAGCCACTGGCTCCCTTCTCCAGTAAGATGCCTGGATCACATTGCTAGAATCCCCTACACGAAGAATGTGACTTTACTTTCATGTTGTCCTTGTAAGATAAAAATAGTGTGTGTGCGTTTTAGCAACTATATGTTGTCAGCATGTCAAGCAGAAGCAAAGTGCACTGTAAATCATTCACTGCACTCTTAAATTATATTTATTTATTTATTTCTTCAATTTTTATATTGCCCATCCACCAAATCTATACTATCCACCTAGCAAATTCACTACTCTGGGCAGTATACAACCAAATACAAAACTGTAGATAATAAAATCAACAACAGAAAACACTAACTAACAATAATTACATATAGCAGGATAGGCAGCAAAAAGAAAGAAAAAAGAAATAACAATTTCTCTTCTCCTTCTTTCCTTCTCTATCCCATTAAATGAAGAGGACCTCTCTATAGGCATCCCTGCAAAGCTCCATTTTCAGGAGTTTCTTAAGGTGCAAGTGCCTGACATATTTCCTACAGGAGGACATTGCACATAGGGGGCACCATTTCTGAGAAGGCCAGATTCCTGGCTGATGTCTTCTGGACTTCTCTAGGTGTCAACATCTGCAGGAGTGAGGTCTGCAAGGACTGGGTAAGACAGGCAGCAAAACTTGGAAGAAGACATTCAGACAAGTAGCAAGGTCCCAAACGGTTATAGTATCCACTTCCATTGGCTCCAAATTATAGTTTCCACTTCAGTGTAAATGGATTAAAGTAAGAGGATTAAAGCTGCTTGGGGTTCTTGGCATGCATCAGAATGTGCTCACTCAAGTTTGAACAAATGGTAATGAAATAAGAAGGTGAGATGATGATGGAGATGTTTCCAGGACAGTGAAAGGTGCTGTCTGAGAAGTAAAACAAACAAACAAAAACTGTTGAAATATTCTTGAGACAAAGATGATGAGCAAACACAACAAAACATTTAAGTGCTGGTAGAAGAGGGAAACTAACAGTTTCCTGCTTGTCTTTACCTTATTTCAAATGAGATGGTGCCAGACGTTCTGATTAGGTGACCTTAATGTTACTATTACGAAATCACGCTATGGACAATGCCAGAAGCTGGTTATTATGTTTGTCACACAATTATGGTAATGACAAATATTCTTCACAGATGGTTCAACCCTCAAGTGAGTACCAAGACAATTTTGCTGTGCAACTGAATTTTGAAATAAGCAATTATTAAAACTATCTAAGGTAAAACTAAACAGTTACAAGTTGTGGAACAGAATTTTAAAGAATGTCCCTGAAGTGTCCCTGAAGGGGTCATCTTTAAATTCCCAAATGCAATGCCATGCTCTGATTTCAATGAACATTGTAGGCTTTTATTACAGAAAGTGCAAAAATTGCCAGAGAAATTTAGCTCTGTCTTGATGGCTCATCAAGTAGTTTCCATGGCTGAGTGGACTATAAATATTTTGTCAAATAGTGGACTTTCTCTTTTTAAAAAACAAATCTTTAAAACAACAGAAAAGGAATGGTGGAATTGAATGCATAAAATGCATTCAGTTTTCTATCAGAATGTATACCTATCTTGCTACAAGCATTCATGGACGTACATATGTATATATCGATGCATGTATGTATGTGTATCTGTCTCCGTCTCTTATCTCTATCTCTACATCTACCTCTATCTCAACCTATCATCCACAACGCAATATTTATTAATAGGGGTTTTTTCTTCCACTTGGTGGATTCACCCTCTGTGTACGCAGACCGGATTTTACAAAGGAAGGGTGTATCTAATTGCATTTGCTCATAGTTATTCACTGTTAGCCTGTGTTCTCTGAATTCTTTCCCTTCTTTGTTTCTTGTCACCTGCTCCTTCTTCCCAGACAGTTAAGATTTAGACTGCAATCTCCTTGGGAATAGGGACCCTTTGTTTTTTTCTTATGGTGCCTTACTCAGTGATGTGGTACTGTGTTTGCCACTTTAGAGGTTTCTGGCCTACAGCTTCCAGAAACCTAAGCATCAATGCCAGTGATGACAAACTGTGAAGCCTGCCATCCAAAAACATCTAGAGGACTAGGGTGCCCACCCCCATGCCATATAAAAAAACAAGCAACTATACAATCCTTTATTCTTTGAAGAAGAAAATCCTCCCTCCCCTTTTGGTGTGGGGTAAATGTAACATATGAAATAAAAATAACAGTGACCTTCATAAATAAGTGGAGATTTGGTGTACTTTTTATTGCTCAGCATTGAGCATAGAAAATCAAGGTAGAGACCACTTGTACAAAGAAGAAAGGGGCAGTTTCACCTCTGAGCTCTGAGGATTTCCTTTCTCCCCTCCCTTCCTCTCCCCTCCTGCTTTCTGAAGCTGTTAAGCACAGCAAGCAAACCCATGAGGTTCTTAACTATCAGGCTGTATGCTTAATAGAATTCAAAAATACTATTATGATTCCCAGCATTTCCCAGCCCAGGGCTACTAGGAGCTGTCCAAAAAAGCCATTTGTTCCAAATTTTGCATTAGGAAGCCATCCAAATTCATCTCTAGAGTCTTGATGAAGAAGTTTGCATATCCATTCCTGTATTACACAAAAGGTTAAATTTGGGTCTTGTCTATAAATACAAAGTGAGAACAGAAAAGTGAAATTAAAGAATTACTAAATAATCCTTTTACAGGAAATAAACTTACTCTGGAAAATAATTTTGTTCTGTATTTATAGAAGACAACATGTTGAAAGCATTTAAACCTTATTTTCTGCAAGTAATTAATATTTGAGAACTGTGATTATTTCTTCGTGAATTCCAAGAGTGGCATTTTATAATCTGGTTTCAGTTTCAGTACAGTATTATATCCACAAATTATAAAGTTTGAAGTCGACAGTTATTTTGAAAAACAATTAGCTATGTTTGTTTATAGGATGAAGTTAATAAAATTCAGATTATTCAATTAAATGAGACATGAAGAGCTATTTCGCATAGAACACTAAATGCTGTTCCTTTTCTTTTAGGATTATCGAGTGAATATATTTCTCCGGCAAAACTGGAATGATCCACGCCTTGCTTATAGTGAATATCCAGATGACTCATTAGATCTAGATCCTTCTATGTTGGACTCTATTTGGAAACCAGACTTGTTCTTTGCCAACGAAAAGGGTGCAAACTTTCATGAAGTAACAACAGACAACAAATTGCTACGGATTTTTAAAAATGGAAATGTTCTTTATTCTATTAGGTAAATCAGAGAAAAGGATTTGATTTTACATGGAGTTAGTGAAGTTATGACACAGATAATTAGGATACAAGTGATATACCATCTTCTGAAGAATTGTGGATAAATGCAATTACAGGAGTGGGATTGCAGAAACTGGATTCAAGACTCACAGCACTGTGATAATAAGAATTAATTACTGTATTATCTCAGGAGTCTCCTTCAGGATACCTAAACCAATTGCAAACATTGGCTATGGAAATTCTTGAAGAAAAGGAGATTACAAAAAGCGAATTTAAGTTGTATGTTCAGAAACAATTATTTAAAGATTGCTAGCATGAAGCCTTGGTAACTGCCCTCAAAATAGATACAAACTTTGGCAACAAGCCAGAGGGAGTGTCTTATGTAGAGCTTCTTTATACAGTAAGGTCTTGAGAAAGAGAAAGACAACCAAAAAAAACGAAAGTTTAAACGAGAATTGTATGAAAATGGTGCTGAGCAAACAGAGAGTTGCAAAAGGAGCATTAAAAGAGTCCTACGAGAGGGAAGTATTTATTTGTTTCATTTATTTAAACTATTTTTACTTGACCTTTCAAAAGGACCCAAGGCAGCTTACAACATTAACAGACTTGTGCAAAATTTCTCACAGCTCCATGCAAAAAAATAATAGTAATTTTAAAAGGATTTAATGGATAATGATTTTAAGCTATAACTTTTCATTACATCTTTTTTCCTCTGTATTAGAGTTGCGACTGCCTTATAAATTTAACCTGTTTTGTGCTCAGTGTCTTCTGCTGGTCATGGACTGATAATAATAAACTAAACATTTCATTAAAAGACAGTATTTAAAGCTAACAACAGTGCGTATACAAATACTAAAAAGGATGAAAGAGATACTTTACTAAAAATCATAAGCAACACCAAATGCATTCAAAGCAGTAAGGTAGAACAATCCATTTAAAAAACCCTACTCAGAGAGCCAGTCATTAAAGGAAAAGTTGCCTGAAGAGAAGGGTCTTTGTTTGTGGAAGGACAGCAGAGATGGGGCCAGCTTGACCTCCTGTGGGCAGGAGTTCCAAAATCTGGGAGCAGCAACAGAGAAGGCCCTCTCCTGTGTCTCCACCAAATACACTTATGAAGGTAGAGAGACCAAGAGCCTCTCCTGATGACCTTAACACTCAAGAAGGCTCATAAAGGGAGATGTGGTCCTTGAGATAGCTTGGGCCCAAGCTGTTTAGATATTCTATTAAAAGAATTCTGCAAAAATGTTGGATTGAAATATGTGTTCTCCAAAGGAAGCCCCACTGATTTTCTGGAAGTTTATTCAGAACTAAGGTGTGCACGATTGCAGCCTTAAAAAATATTTTTGAGGATATCGAGCAGATTGATTTATTTTACATACTGGCTGAAATCCTTTTGCCCTTTTCTGCATACAGAAAGCAAATGGTGTAGCATTCATTTATTTCCAGCTAGCAATTAACCAGTCCCTACTAGGATTCTTCTGAACAAGCCAAGCCATTAGTACCTGGTTGCTTATTAATTGCCAGCTAGAGATGAGTGGTTGTTATGCCATTTGCCTTCAGGATTTCAGTCACTATTTTCCAAATGATTGAATGGTTACACTTATGCTGTATATACTGCTTGCCTGTGCCATACAATATACACTCTGAAATAGTTGTTTATATTCTTTCAGGTTGACTTTAATACTATCCTGTCCAATGGATCTCAAAAATTTCCCAATGGATGTCCAAACATGTATAATGCAATTGGAAAGCTGTAAGTATAAACCTAGTTTTCACATTGTTAGTAGACTATCTCAACACATTAAGGACTACTAATTCATTCCAGTATGAGTTTTCATAGGCAAAAGCTTCAAATTGTCTTCCTTGCTGATGTTACAGATGGATAATGATGATGGTGATGATGACAATGACGACAGCAGAGAAACATAGTCTTGTGTTCTAGAATTCTCTAAAAGGAGTTCTAGAATCCCACTGAGAAAAAATTTATTTCTCTTTCAAGTTAGAAAGCCTGAGCAGCCCTATTGACAGGTTGAAAGTAATAATGATGAATGTCAAGTCAGTGAATGTGCAAAAACAGCACAAAAGGATTTTATTCTGAATCAGAGCACTGACGTCTCTGGTTGAATGACACTGGCTAGTGATGGAGAGATAAATCCATAGTAAATCTTGGCTGATTAGTGCAGCAGTAGGGGAGACTAGAGAGATAAAGAGGTGGAGTTCAGTGGCCTATTACACACCTTTTTTAAGTAAGCAGTTAAATTAATTAAGTTACTCCTATTGACTTACTTTCTGAGTAACAAATAATTACTTTTCAGGTTTAACTAGTAATGTTCTCCAGCTACTTTCAAATATTATTTTAAAGGGTATATGGGGAAACTTTTAAAGGCAACATGACAGGAATTTTTCAGGTTTTATGCCATTTCTCTTATCAGTCCTAAAAAGCAAGGAAACTATTCTTTTTGTGTGTGTGTCTTTCTGTGAAATATTTAAAATTGTAAACCGCCCGGAGAGTGCTTGTAGCGCTATGGGGCGGTATATAAGTCCAATAAATAAATAAA